AATGATTATTGAGAATTTAATGTCATGTGTGTTAACAAATTTTAATGAATGGAGGATAGCAAAGAGTTCAGCTGAAAATATGGAAGTTTGGGGAGGGAGCTGGTAGGAACTGTTATAGTTATCTGTTGTGAAAGCCGCTCCTACTCCATTTGCAGATCTGGATGCATCGGTATAAATATGAATGTGATTATTAAAATAATTTAATATCTCTAATAATTTCTGATTGAAGATTTTTGCTGGTGTGACACATTTCTTGAATGCAGATAGGTTTGTATTACAATCAGGGAGAACAATTGTCCATGGTAGCATGCTTTGACTGACTTTAAAAATATTGTAAGTGGGTGGAATTATTGTGTCTAAGCTTTGTAGCGTTGCTCTAACTCGATGATAAAACGGAGGATCCAATCTTTTTCCCCTATTAAATGTCGATGGAAATCTATCTGTAAATGTGTTTTTATAAACAGGTAGCTGTGGGTTAGTTGATACTCTAGAGGCATACATGAGGCTAAGGTAATCTCTCCTAAGTTGAAGGGATAGTTCGCCTGATTCAACATACATACCTTCAACTGAGCTTGTGTAGTGTGCTCCCAGTGCAATTCTAATTGCTGAATTATGAACCGTATCTAGCACTTTTAATAGTGAACCTTTGGCTGAGTTGTAGGCAACAGCAGCATAATCTAGTTTTGAACGGATTAGGGTTTTGTATATAGTCATAAGAGTTTGGAAATCGGCACCCCATTGTTTATGAGAGATACTTTTCATTAAGTTAAGGCCGTTTTGAACTGACAGACGGAGGGAGTGGATGTGGTCTTGCCAAGATAGTCGGTTATCCAGTTTTACTCCCAAGAAGTTAATCGATTCTGAATACTTTATTGGTAAATTTTTTAGGTAGAGTTTCGGTGGATTTTTGTATTTCTTTGGAGTTTTACTGAAAATCATTGCTTTCGTTTTAGTGGGTGAAAATTCTAGGCCAGTAGTATTAGACCAGTTCTCTAATTTGTAAATGGCTTGCTGTATATGGGTCGTCATTGTTGATATATTTTTACCACGACAGAATATAACAAGATCATCAGCAAATAGACGGGGTTTGACTAATGGGCTAAGTGACTTAGCGATGTCATTGATGGCAATAAGGAAAAGTACAACACTAAGGGTAGACCCTTGAGGAATACCATTTAATTGGATTTTGGAGTCTGAAAGGAAGTTGTCTATTCGAACTTTGAAGTTTCGCCTATATAAAAAATTATTAATAAATTTGATAATATTTCCTTTAATCGACCAACTTGACAGAATTTTTATGATATCTGATCTCCAAATTGTATCATATGCACGCGTTATATCAAAAAATACAGCCAGACATACTTGACCACATCCAAATGACTCATGAATTACGGATTCAATATCCACTATGTTGTCTAATGTAGATCTGGACTTTCTAAATCCACTTTGTATAGGGCTAAGTAGCTGTCGATTTTCTAGGTACCACGTTAGTCGGTTGCTTACCATTTTTTCAAGTACTTTACACATAGTAGAAGTTAGAGAGATTGGTCGGTAAGACTCTGGGTTCGATTTATTCTTGCCTTGTTTAAGAACTGGTACAATAATGGAATCATACCAATCAATTGGGAAAACATTATTTGTCCAAATGAAATTATAGAGAGCCAAAAGATATTGTTTGCCTTCCGTTGGCATAGCTTTTAAAAATGTCGTAGGTATGTTGTCAGGCCCTGGGCTAGTGTCTTTAACTTTGTTTAACGTTTCTAACAGTTCATCCATCGTAAATGTAACATTTAGAGGTAAATTATTGTGGTCATCAAGATTTATACAGGCATTATTAACTTTATTTTTATGGACTAGGAAAATTGTAGATAGATTTTCGTCACTGCTATGTTGTTGGTATACGTTTGCTAGTACGGAGGCTATTTCTTGCTTAGTTGAATAAATATGGTTATCATGTTCTAGGTAATGAATGGTGTTAAATGATTTTTTCCCGTACATTCTGCTTATCATTTGCCAAACCTCAGAAGTCGAGGTAGATGGATTTAAAGATGATACATAGTTTTTCCAAGCTTCTTTCTTACTCTTTTTTAAGGTGTATCTACAGTACGCCCTTAATCTTTTGAATTCAAGCTGGTTATTTAAAGTTGGGTGCCTTCTAAATTTATAAAATGCCTTTTTTGAATCTTTAATGGCTGCCTCGCAATGAGAATTCCACCACGGGACTGGGGCACGTTTTTTTGGAAATTTTGAATAACCTATGGACTCGTGAGCTATTGACGTTAAAAACTGTACGAAATGGAGTACTTTGGAGTTGATATCAATATCTGTATCGAAGGGCTGAACCAACTGAGAAATTTTTTGTGAAATTAAAGAGGAATAAAGAGACCAATCTGCATTTTTCAAACACCATTTATTGGATGGAACTGATGAGGAGATATGGTTATTGTTTATAATTAGGATAGGAAAATGATCACTTCCATGCAAATGAGATGTCACATCCCACGACAGAGTTGGTTGTAAGACAGAGTCACAAAGGGATAAATCTATTGGCGACCCATTTCCGGTGGAAATATTGAACCTTGTGATTCTTCCATCGTTAAGGATATTCATATTAGAATCGGTAACAATTTGTTCGATTTTACGTCCCAAGGAATCTGTTTTTTTGCCTCCCCAAAGTATATTGTGAGCATTAAAATCACCTAGTATAATACGCGGTTCTGGAATTTGATTAAAGAGATCAGTTATTTCATTTATGGACGGGTCTAAGTCCGGAGGAAAATAAATATTACATATATTAACTTTGTGGGGGCCTTTTATAGATACTGCTGTTGCCTCCAACTCAGTTCTTAAACGTATTACTTCGGTATTAAATGAGTTATGGACATATATTACTACTCCCCCACTAGCATGGCTAGCAGTTATTCTGTTCTTATAATACGGAGTATAGTTTCTTAAATTATGACAGTTATCTTCTTTGAAGTGGGTTTCTTGTAGGCATATTACAGATGGTTTAAATTTAGCTATAATTAATTTAAGTTCTTCTAAATGGGTGTAATACCCATTTAGGTTCCATTGAAGTATACAGTTGAATGTTGTTGTATTAAATTTCAGCAGAGGCGTCGCTGCTGTGATCACTGTGATCAGTAGAGAAAGAGGATAATACCTGTTTATTAATTTTAGATTTTATTCTTGTACAGCGACTTTTCAGATACTTGGGAGTTAATGCTGGATAAATTTTAGTTAAAAAATTGAGTAGTCCTTCGATATCTTCTGTATACGTTTTAGCAATGCTGAGAGGATCAGCAGAGCCGTGTGCGTTTTCGAAAAAATCAATTAATTCTTCCTGGGTTAGATATCCGTTATCAGAATTATCTTGGAAAAAAGAACTAGTGCATTTAGTAAGATCTTCTGCTAAATCCTTATTAACTTTAGGAACAGTTTTTGCTTTCTTAGATTTACGGAGAGGTTCTTTAAATGGGTTCTGGTCTACTGATGTTGGAGGAGACGTTATTTCTGATACCGTTCGTTTAGACGATTGGCTGTCAGAGGACGTAGGAGGTTGATTTTGGCTGTGAATATTCATTTCAACGTTATCTGGTTGGATAGGTGTTTGAATAGGATTTGAATCTAATAGAGAAGAATTGGTTGTTTCTGTTGATTGTGAACTGGTACATTGTTGTAAAGATTGTGAATGATGGATAGTTTGCTGTGCATCTGTTATGTTGTGGTGACAATTTTGGATATAATTTGGTTGAGAAGTAGGTGATGAGTTTTCGATAGATGTTTGAGTGTTCGTATTTTTTGTGCATTGAGAGGCTAGATGACCTTGTTGTTTGCAAATGTAGCATGATTGTTTTTCAAGTGAAAAATATATTCGATAATTGATTTGTTCGTAGTTAATTAATATAGACTCAGGAATATTTTCTAGATTTTTAGGAGTAATATAAGTATAACGTCGGAAACTCAAGATATGCTTAAATAAAGAATTAGTTGTTCCTATTCTTAGAAAATCCAATGGAGTTATTTGATGAATTCCAATATTTTGTAGTTCAGTCTCTATAATACTGTGAGGTATTGATGGGTGGATATTAGAAATTATCAGTTTTTCGCTTGGTGTGATTAACTTCCTGGCTTGGATACGTTCCTGATTGATTAGTATGGTTCCATTATCTCTTCCTAAAAATTCGGTGACTGTCTCTTCAGTAGTAAAATATATGCAAATACGATCATTTGCAATCCTGGAAATGGCGAGAATTTTATTGGGATCGACCTTAGTTGCTATGGCATTTAAATAATCTTCAATTTTGGTATTTGGAAGTGAATTGAACAAAATGGCTTGGTTTTTGCTTGGGAATTTTTTGTTAGGTGTAGTCAGAGCGGTTGAATATAATTTTGATTGATTGGATGGATTAATGACATCTTGAGAATTTTGAAGTTCAGAAGTTCTTTCCTCTGAAATTTCCTGCATATTGGGCCTATGTTGCCTGATTACGGCCCTGGTGCTTGGACAGGTTCATAAGTAATAAGTAATTAAGCTACTTAATTACCTCGCTACTGGTATTTATAACCGTTGTTTACTGCTTATTGGTTAAAAAATAATAATAAAGATGGTCTAACTTACAATTTGATCCCAAAATTGGATTAAGCACTATATAATACACTATTATACCAACTTTGATAATTTTCTAACAAGTAAAACCACCTTAATTTTGATAAAAACTAAGAGCTAATCGGAAACACTGTTTACTCGTCAAGCTCGTTTTGTCTTAAAATAAAACTTAATGAAATGAATCTTAGTAATTTAAATGAAATTAAATGGGAATGCAGGATCACATAAATTACGGATAGAAAATGACAGAAATATGTTATTAATTTTTATGAAAATAAAACATTTTTTAATGGAAGAAGGAATAAATGTCCTATGGCTGATATATTGGTTGCCTATATCGTTGATTCCTAATGACATATGTCTAAGACTAAAGTGACAGAAAATGAAGAAGAACGAACTTGACTTAAATGGTGATCTAATGTAATCGTTTTTAACAGAAAAATAATAGTAACAACACAAGCAAGAAATGTAAATATGACTTCTAAACGGAATACAAGAAATTCTAAATTAACAAAAACGAAAAACTACAACACATTAATACTAAATGATGTCCTTTGTCCGATATGTAGAAGTATTTTAGTGGAACCAGTAACTCTTCCTTGTAATCATGTTTTCTGTTTATTTTGTTTTGAGAATACCATGGAAAATGCTAACTTAGTATGCCCTTTGTGTAGATTGAGGATAGGATCTTGGCTGAGGAAAGTTAAAAAGGAGAATACGCTTATAAATGAGGATTTATGGAAAGCTATAAAAGACAAATTTCCGCAACATGTTAAAAACAAGTCAAATGGAGTTGATGAAAACCTGGAAGAAGGTATGATTAGTTTTGTTGTTATGAACAGATTGGAACACATATAGCAATACTCACTTATGACAAAATCATTTTTAATTATTTTTGAGGAAAGTTCTTTACAAATATGCTGTTTTTATAAAAGTTCATTTTGCTTCATATTAAGTACATAAACTAATAGATATTTGATATGGGGATCTGTAATTTGATCTCTTTGTTTATTTTGTCTGTTATTTTTAAAAGTGTATATAATCACTTATCCTCAAGGAGTCAAGGACACTAATCACTCAAGTGATTGCCTTATATGAAACTTACTTAACAAAAAAAGTAACATTAATCTTTCTCTTATTACATACATAAAATTGTTTTGAAGTACATTTCTTATGAGAAATCAAAATCAAGCAAGAGATTCAACAATAGTTATTGGAGAGTTTAATGTATTTTGTTCAAGCATGACATTATAGTGTAGAATTGTCAACTATTTTTGATATATTTTTTTACATCCTACTCCTACTGAACAGGAGTTCCAGATGGTTTAATAGCTTATTGTCAAAAACTTTATTTTTTAAATCTATGTGGTTTTAGTATATCTCTAATATAGTTGAGCCTATGTTAATGATCATAACAATTTGGCCATTCCCTATGGATTTCTGGCGATTTTCAAATTTTCAATATTAAAACTTCTATCTAATGATCACTGTTGACAACAACCATGATCACCTGTTATTCTTCTCGAAATAATTCAATAAAAATCGATGGCATTAAATATATAAAATGTTGAAATTTTCAAGAAAAAAATATAGAATACATAATTTATAGTTTTTATCTAACCATAAAATTAACCCTTGTGCCACAGCTTCTAAGTGTGCGTTCATAATGAGGCGCTGACCCTCACTCGAGCGTTCACCATCAGTGCTATGCTCTAGGTGAGGAGACGGTGCAATGGTCTCCCTTATGAACCCACCCTAAGCACTCACTGTATAGAAGAGAATTGTCTTTCAATTTGATGAATATAATTAAAATTTTGAAATATAAGGAGAACAATTTATAAATAAAGTAGAAAGGCTGCAATGTGTATTCAAATTTTAACAATAAAACTGAAACAGAAGCTTTTTTTGTTAACCTCTAACTAACAACTAATGTAACTATCAGCACCACTATCTTCGTGGTTCAGCTGTATGTTGTTATATCAATTGTCATAATACTGGAAAAGCTCATACTTTTCTCAAGTACTTTGTAATAATAGTGGGAAAAGACATAGAGTAGAAAATTACATCAATAAGCAAAATGACTTTAATTTGAATCAGTGTAACTAATTGTCCATATTTACAAACATAATTTCTTTTGATGAGCATTATCATTATCATCTTTGGGTGGTGAAATGATTTTAAAAAGTAATAGTTTTAATTACCGAGAATTGGTATTACAGACTAATAGAGAAATAGATGGAGATGCATACAATAGAATTAGGATTGGATGGATGAAGTGGAAGGAAATAAATGGTATGTTGTGTGACAGAAAAAAAATAATGAGGCTGAAGGGAAAGTTATATAAAACTGCCATAAGTTGGGCAGTTAAAAAGAAAAAGGAACAACGAATACATATGGCAGAAATGAGAATGCTTACATGGATGAGTGAGTAACAAAAAAGGATAAAATTAAGAATAAGTACATTAAGTTTATATGATAAGATACGAATCTACAAGACCCTAATCTGACCAATAGTGAGAATACAGAGGAAGAGACCTATTGGAAGACTAAGAAAGCTTTGGGATGATGATGTGGATGAGGATGTCAGAAATCTCCTTGTCTGTTGATCATGTAGTAAAATCGCTACAGACTATAATCAATGTGGAGGTTTGATGAGTCAAGCCAGGGCTAGAATTGGGCTGTAGAGCCATAGGACGAATGGATATTAGGGAAAGTCTAGTTGTGGTACCAATTGTTGCTAAAATGATAGAGCATAGGTTAAGATGGTTGGGTCATGTTCAATGTTGAGAAGTTAAATCACCCAATATGATGAATTACTGATCTACTGGTTCCTGGGAGGACCAGGTGAGGAAGACCTAGGGGAGATGTTTAGACAGCACATGTCAGTAAAGGGGATTGATATTGGTATGACCCAAAATTAAAACTTATAAACAATATTAGGGAAGCCAACTCTGCATAGGGATAAAGGCAAAGAGAATGATGATGATGAGCATGGATTTTCCTAGGGTCAACCTGTCACTACCAACTTAATTGGTTAGTAAATTAACACTGCTGATGAGTGTTAAGTGAGATCAATGGCTATATTGTTTGATCAAGGAAGTGAGGCTGTAAGCAAGAAGTGAGTGACCAACAATTAAAAAAAGTTAGAAAACAGTAACACTACTAAAGAAAGAACTTTAAAAAAATGGTAACAGTACAAAAAAAGAAGAAATCAATACAGCATTTAATAAAATAAAGCCTTATGAAGACTTTTTAAAGTTGATCATGAAGTTTTATAATCATTCTAGTTCAAAACGTTGATAGAATTGGTATTTATGATGATTTGCTGCAGTGATTGAGATTATATCTGATGTGAAGGGAACAGAGTACATTTTGCTCCTAATTATCCAATACATTTAATGATATAATGTTATTATTAATTCTAATTTATTGTTCTTATTTAAATTCTACTAAAGGTTCAATATCTATAACACTTACAAATTTAATTTACTTAAAGTTTATTTATATTAATTTAACTTACAATAATTTATATATTACGTTCATTACATTTAAACACCTGTTCGTGATTTTCTTCTCTAACTGCTGACCACAATAAAAGCTCCGTTATTATATATGAAAATACACCTATTTGAGAGTTCAGGAGAATCCCTCTGATTATACTAGGCTGGGTCATCATTCGACTGGTTTCTGGAAACTTCAAACGACAGTTTCAGGTAGATTTCTGCCAGCTGATCGAAGGGTCTCCTCGAATATACAACATATTAGTAAATAAACAACATGTTTACAGGTTTTTCTAATATGACTAATTTTTACATAACAATATATACAAATGTATTGCCTTCTGTCTATTTTTATTTTTTATATTGATGATGTCAGGATATAAACTGCTACTTCTGTAAGTTACCATAATGTTCACAATATGAATATGAATAAATTGTAAAAAACATTGAACAGTGCAAACATATTGTCAGATAGCACTTAGCCAAAAATGTTTTTTCATCATTTATGCCTTCAGAAAACTAATTTTGTACAGGATTCATAATAGTGTCCAAAAAACTTTTATGCTGTTGTTCAGATATTTTTAAATTCTGGGAACAGCCTATTTTGCCTATGGCACACACACCTTATGAGAAAGTATGCCCTCTTGATCTACAAATTATTTTTAGAAGATATACAAAGATGTTTTTACTTTAATTATTGCCGCACTAGAGCTGAATATTACGAAGCAGTCATTGCTGTATCAATATGAATAATATCTTTCACATCTCAAAAAACAGTGACTATCACCTATATGGCCTTGGTTTTCTTTAAAGAATTAACATAGTTTTATTTCACTGGTTTGATTGATATTTCATCTTGGACATATAAAAATATGTCCATATTTCATCAAAACTGACATTGAAGAAGGGGCTATATTGGATGATTTCTGTTGTTTCACTTTTTAAGAAGCTATGTTCTTGTTTGACATGGATTGATATGTGAAACTACAACATCTGGCTGTAGCAACATCTTTTGGTGTTGTCTAGGCAACTGTTACCTAGTTTTCATAATAATGCCCATGCTGTCCTGCTTGATGTCTGAAAATGATTGTTTTCCACAGTCTATTTGACTCGTTCTTTGGCATATTGGTAAATGTTATAGAATAATTATTTTTTTAATACAATTTCACATAAAATTTGTTTTGTTTTATATTTATGTTTTTGTTCCTATTTATATATGTATATTCCTTTTTCAAGGAAGCCGTTTTATATGTAGATCAAGCATTAGGTAGTTATATTATGAGAACATGGTTTCACTCTACAAGGGACGATTTATAAAAATACCTAAATAACCTAAACACTTTATGTAGCTAAAAATTACTTTAATATGTGGAGACAAGAGTGTGAGGTCTAATGTTTATCCTTGTTTATTTTTTATAATTTTATAGAATATATTTCTTATGCTTTACCTATAAAAACTGTAGAAAATGTTATTTTTACAATTTCATATATCTTTGTAGAACATCGTGACGTAATAGTTGCTTACCCTGGAGAAATAAGGAAAGAATATGAAATACAAAAACAGAAAGAAGATGATGAATTAAGGAAGCAACGGGAAGCTGATCTAAAAGCTAGTGAAGAATTAATAAGGAAACTCAAGGAAGAAGAAGATTATCAGAAGGCTGTAATGGAAGAAAAATTAAAATTTGATGAAGAAATCGCTAAAAAATTAGCTGAAAATTTAGCATCTCAACAAGCTTCTACCTCAAAATCTAAAGTTGCCTCTAAAAAATTGGGTCCTATGGACAGTTTTGTAAAGAAAGACACTGAACCAAATCAAAATAATTCTAATAATTTCTTTAACAAAGAATACACTTGTAGAATTTTGTGTTTAGGAAATCAAAACGAATCAACTTCTAAAAATGCTAAAAATTTTTCACCGAAAATCCAAAAGAAAATTCAGCAAATTCAAAAGCTGGTCGACTTAGATATGCTTAGTGATGCTAGTGACTGCATAGAATCTGAATTGAGATATTTTAAACCAATAGAATATAAGCTCAACCCTCCATCTCATAAAAAACCACCCCTTAAAATCACACCTAAGAAACTTAATATGGATACAGAAGCTAAAGTACTGTAAGTTAATATTTCTTTTATTGATAATTTAGATATAAATTCCTATAGCTATTTTTTACATTGAGTTGGTAGTATAACAAACAGATGATTATGTATTTTAAATGTTCTTCTGAGTACTTGTAGCACAGATGTACTTAGTAGCAAATCAGCTAAAATTACTTAGTTTACTTAGGGATTTAGTTTGAACCATAAAATTACTTAAAATATCACATAAAAGCTAAAATAAATTTATATAAATCTATGGAAAAACTTTTCATACAGTGACATGTCTATTTGAAGTCTGTAATATGGCTCTGGTGTGCTATCATGTAACAAGAGAGCCAGCTTGTCATTACATAGTTGCCAATACTCTAAACTGCCAACTCAGAATAAAAACTCCTATAGATATATAAGTGCATAATAGATGTAGTCTATTTATAGATATTATTAATCAAATACTTTCTTAGCTAGTCTTTCTTCTATCATTACTTTTTTCTTAAATACATATAATGTTTTTTACTCTTTTGGGCATTAAAAGCCACTCTATATTTAGACTAAATTATAAAACAAAGTAGAACAAATTAGAATGACAAAAAAGAAAAGAAAGTGAGTTTAGTCCACTTAGCAGCTTTTGTGAAACTGTATTTTGTATGATTGGATAGATGTTCAAAAAATTTTAAAAGTCAGTCAAATTATTCCATCTAGTGTAACATACAGCTAAGGATATAAGGACATTTTAAAAATATTTTTACAAAAACACTGGCAGAAAAAGATAATATCTAAAATTAGAAATATGGAAAAGGCTAGACAAAATAATGACAGAACAAAAAAAAAAGATACATTAAATAACATGAAATTACAAATAACCTGATCGCCAAAAGGTCGAAAATCGAACATATTGTCACAAAGTGTTATTAAGTGAAATAAAATTAATTTTCAGATATAAACGGGAAATAGTTTGTTATTTTGCAGTAATTTAAGGTCGGGACATGTTTTATCACAAAAATTTGAAATTTTGCAAAAGAAAAATTAAAAGTGACAAATGTGCGTTTGGATAAGAATTTGTACCTCTGGACATTTCACAAAATATTACTTTCGTATTTTTTTATTAGACAAATTATAATGCTAAGAAAAAATTTTTTGTACAACCTATTTATCAGACTGTTTTGAATTATTTTGAATTTTGTATAATTTATTGGTTGCACCATTTTAAAATCAACATGCATTTGTTAAAATTCTGTAATATTTCCAAAGGGGCAACACCTACGTCTACCTTTGGACTGGTTTGGAAACGAATCCAGAAATGTGAATTCTAAATTTTTCATGTACATTACAAAAAATTGGGCCATATTGACTTAACTCTCTAAGGACGATTGTGTTGTTTTCGTAACGTTCCAATCAAAAGCGATTTGTAGGCGAACTATTAACCTAATCTCATCGATGCCGAAAGTTACGAATTCGTAATATGACGCCTCATACTGAAAAAGTCACTGCGACACACTCCAGCCAATTTGTCAACCGCATGCTTCTCGAAACATATTAGGATACAAGTTGGCTGATACTAAACAGCTAACTGTAATTTTGATTTCGCAAAATCAGTGAATGTTTACCGGGAAGGAATATGTAAAATATATATTAGCGGGAAAGGTCTGTGTAGTATATGGATAGTTCATGCTTATCACTATAAACAGTCACAAATTGAAGATTGAACACGTGTTACGTAAACGTTACGATTTCGTTACGTTCGGCGTTATAGAGTCAAGTAACTAAAATAGTTCAAAATGAATCCAGCTGTGTTTTATTGACGAAAATGGCATCAAGCCATTGGCATACCAAGTGATAGTGATGTAAGTGTTTCTGAATCTGAAAATGAAAGTGATGAATGGGGAGTAGAAGAGAACTCTGGTTCTGAAATTGAGGAAGTCTTTAGTGATGGTGGTGAAGAAATAATAAACGAATAATGCGCAATAAGAATGAATATACCGATATAATAGAAAAAACAATACTGACAGTGAACAATTTATGGGTACAATATTTTATATGTCTTTGATTAAACTACCAAATACTCGATTATATTGGAGATCTCAATTTGATACTACAGTTCGTGAAATAATGAGTCGAGACAGATGGGAAACGATAAAAAAAACATAAACATTTCTCCGATAATACCAAAATTGATCCGTCAAACTTAGATAAACTATAGACTGAAGATTAGTGCCCCACTACAATTAGAACTTACAATAAATTCATGGGCTGATTAGATCTTATGAATTCACTAATAGGTCTATACAGAATCACAATATTACCATCGTTTTTTATTCCCTTTTATGTATATGGCAGTGTAAATTGTTGGCTTTTATATAGACGTGACTGCAATGATTTTGGTGTTCCAAAGAAAAACGAACTGTCTGAGTTTAAAAGTCGCATAGCCAAAAGAAATTAGACCGTCCCAGCAGTAGCTCGATTGGTGATAGATAGGATATTCGGTAGGATGAAATAGTCCATTGGCCTGTTGTGAAAGAGGACGATGTCGAAAACCTGGTAGTAAGCAACTCCTGTGCATTATTATGAGAAGTGCAACGTGTACTTATGTATTAATAAAAATTGGAATTGTTTTTACGATTTTCATCATAATTAAAATTTGTCATGCTATTCACAAATGATCTTTTTGCACCAATAAATATCTGCATTAAAATTATTGTATTACTTATTGTAATTTTTTTTGCAAAAATAATGATAAAAAATAAACAATAATATGTCATATACATAATTATTGATTTAAATTGAATTTAAACATTTTTTCGCAAGCATTTTTAAATTTTTTGAAATTTCGTCCTTAGAGCGTGACTTAAGCCACTTTCACTCTAAACATATGCAAGATAAATTCAATCATACTGACTTAAATCTGGAAAAGCAATGAATTTTATTGAATATTTAACGTGAATAGTGTTACATTCTTAGTATGTAGAACACATTGCTTCATTTTTGGTTTTCTAAGTTTTCTGTTACTGGCTTACGTCACGTAGTTCTTCATTACCTTCCTCTTCCTTTCATCTTTAGGTTCATCGATTTCCTCTTCATGCTATGGCAATGTTCCAATAATATCTTCAACATCAAATGCGCTGTTGGGATCCAAGAACAAAGTGTAATGCATTGGAGGAATAAACGGTAGCATATCGATCATGTCTCGCTTTTTTAACTTCTCAAGGGTCTCTTTCATGGATAAAGTTTTTCGTATGGTACATTCTTTAAATCTACGGGTCTTCCTTTTCTTCCAGTCGGCTTTATGTTTAGGACATTAAATGGCACCATATTCTAAATATTTCTTTGTACATTATTTCGTAAGGATTATCTTTTTGTAGTCTTATCCATTGAATTTTCAACCAGTTCACAGGATTTTTGTCAGTGTTTTTCTTCCTATTGCTTATATTTCTCTTTAAATTATTAGTTGAAAAAAATCTTCATCTGTCATTTTATATGAAATGAAATTCTTTTTATTTCAACACTTTGCCATGATTTCATGCCAGTCTTCTGGAACATAAATGACCTTTTCTTTTGCTGCTGTCTTCCGGCTGTAGTTTCATTCCACAAATAAAAATAATCCAGAATCTTTCTCAAAAATCATGTACTCCAAAATTGTAGCAGTAGAAGTTTCATTTGTAGTAGACATCTGAAACTGTTAATACTGGGAAGGGTAAAGCTTTTTGCAAATCTGCAAACATAACTGTCTTAATTGTCTTTGGAAATTTTTTCATCATATTTCATGAAATCTCTAGCTAATTCAGCCTTCCTTAGGTGAAGCACATGATCCTTTTCAAGTATTATCTTATCTTCCTGGCTCATATCAGGGTTAGATATTTTAATTTTGTATTTATCGCAACATTTGCATACATCTTTCTTAGAAGTGTAAAAATGCAAGTTGAATTTATTATTAAATGTATATCTATAACAGTGTTCCTCATGTAATGGATATATAAAAATATACATAAAATAGGTTATACCATCTTCTGGTATTTTACGTTTATGACAGCCTTTTGATCCTCTCAAGTCATCTCCGGGAGATCTACTGTCTTCTGTTTTTCTTAAATCGCGAGAAACTCTTCTCTCGGACACATTTAATGTATCAAGAACGTGTGGTTTCTTATAAACCATATCAGATAATTGATTGTTTGGTTTCAAATAATATTTATTCGAAGAAGGTCTCTGAGTTGTTCGTCCGTTCTTGTTTTTTTTTCTTTACTGCATTTTTATGTAGCAAGCCACATAAGAATGTATTTTATCTCTTGAAATCTCTCATTTTCCAAAACGATTGAAACAAAGACTACCTCCCTTCTAATGTGATTTTGTCATTACATTTCATTTTGCAGAAACAAGGAGTATGTTGAAATATTTTACCTTCGACCATTTTTCCCTGCTTTGACACATATTGCTGCTCAGAATTTCGGGATTGCTTCGGTGAAGTTTGCTTATGTTGGGAAGGATTTTGAAGTCCTTTCCTACTTTTATTCTTGTTAGAAGGTCGATTTCTGTTGGTTCGTCATCAAAACATGAATGCAGATTTTCATCTTAGTGTTCTGAACTCGAAGAATACTTTACAAGCTTGTTTATTGCAGAAGGATTAAAAAAGTATTATTAGGCATGGGTTGGTCTTGATCTCTGTCTACATCGTCAACGAATTAAGGTGAATTTGAATATTCATTTTCACTGTTATAATAAACTGTTAAAATAAACATTATTAAATCCAGTGGTCACTGATATAACCTCAACTCTTATTGATTTAAGATACTTGTTAAAGCACTCACAGAATTTCCAATAATAATAACCAATTAAAAAGTATTTGAATTCACTAATAACACTTGAAACTCAGACCCTTTTTTTTTCATTGAATAAAATTATAGTAAGATTTTCAGTCATTAATGATCAAAACTGCACTCAACTGAGGTTTACACAACAAGTGACAGTTCACCTTCATTCCCAACAAATCAAATTTTTTTAGAGAACGGAAATCAATGCTGCTCCTAGTGGCGAATTCATGTACTATTACCTAAAACCACTAATTCAGAATAGTACTATGTCAGGGTATTTGAAAATGAACTTACTTCATTTTTTGAAATTTGATGACTTATGCTTTTCATTCTCACCGGCCCATATGTTTCATGTTTGCTTCATTTCTTTTTTATATGACTCACTTACGTTCTTCATTGTACCATTCTGCCTTTTTCTTCTTTTTTCTTTTTCCCATCGTGTTTGTTGCTGTGCTTAGAGTTGTCTTTAATACTTTCCATTGTTCTGGACTGTCCAGGTTTTTTGTGTTTGAGTTAACCACTAGTACGAACAAAAGGGGCTTAAAAATTCGAATGCTTTGATACATGAACCTTTAATACGTATTACTATTTCACCTTCACTTAAACAGTTCCATTTACTGACCTAACTTGAGCAGTAAACTGCAGTTTGTATGTGATCCCAATATGTTTGATTCTATGTTTATTATCTCCGTTTTATATCTAATTTCTTCCATTTTTCTATTTATTATTCCTTTTCATCCATCTTTTGTTAATCGCCGCTGTATTAGCTCCTAGTATAATTCATATAATTTTGATTTATATAGATTTTTTAATAGGTAATTGATTATTGTTCTTTTTAGCTCGCCAAGTGGTGCCATCAATTTTAATTCAAATAGTTTGGAATCTGCTTTCGCTAGATTTTCAGTACAGTTGCCAAATAACCCTAGTTCAACTGAAACTTCATCGACGCCATTACAAAATAAATCACCGATACTAAAACGCACAATATCTCACGATGATGTGGATGCCAGCACTTCTGGAAAGAAACCCAAATTGGAAGAATCAGTCTCGAAAGTTAAAAACTCAACACACACAAAAACTGGTACTCCCAAAGTACAACTAAATTTGTTTCCTTCTGCGCGAAAGAAGCTATTTAATATTCAAGATTCGCCTAACAATGTCGAAAGTCCCCCGTTTTGTGGTTTTGAAAAAGAAAAAAACAAAAAATCTAATCTACAGAAAAGGAATTTGTTTCCACAGAAACGAAATGGTATGTTAATAGACGAACAATCACTGGCTGAAAGGTTAAAAAGAGAACAGGAAAAGTCCGATTTGGAATATGCGAAAAGGCTTCAAGAAGCACTTGACGAGGGTCGCTGTATGAGGAGTTCTCGAAGTAGTGGCATCTCAAAAAGACAAAGTACATTGGATGAAATGATCAAAAGTCCATATAGAATAAAATCAAATACTTCATAATATATATAGTATTGTTCTACATGTTTATTAAAGAAGTGTATGTTTTTTTATTACAAATGTTGAAATACCTTTATTTTAAACTAAAAAAATATTTTAGGCTGCAATGTATTGCTTGAAACTTATAATTAAAACTGTTTCATAAAGTGCGTATTTTATTGCACAGATAGTTAGCCATATTCTAAAGAGATAAACGTCATATAATTTCGTGTTTGATTAATAATATGGTTTAAAAATGAGTCCATTATAAATGTAACGTTATACAGCTGTCTGATTCAGACTAGTCAGATTTTTGTAAATAGTTTATTGATGTAAACTTAAAAAATTTGGATAAATTGTAAAATATTGACAAGTAAAATGCCTACTAGTGTAGGCACTACACTGTTCAGAAATCGAAGAATGTCTACATTTACTGAGTAATATTCTTATATGGGTAATCCTCCACTAAATCGAAAATCTCTGTCCCAAACTAATTTTATGTAATAAATGTTAAAAATTTTAAGTTTTTTGTATCAATAACAATATATTATTAGTAATTGATGGATTCTACCGTTACTTGATGGAAATTCATTTTATGTAACACATATTATAAAACACTGAAAACTTTTTTTTAAACTTCCACAAAATTTATTTTAATTTCTTATCACTACAGCTGTTTCGGCTGATTGCCTTTCTCAAGTGATCTATTTTTGGCATGCGTTTACACTTATAGTCTTTAATGAAATAGGTTGAGGAGGGGAGAACTGTTTGTCTCAAGTTGGTCATTCACAATTATATCTGTGTTTTTTAATTTGTTGATTTCTGCTGTTTCTGATGCTGAGCTTAAGGCCTTTATTTTGAATGTGAAGAAGGTTTCCCTAACACGTCACAGTATATTTAGTAATTTAAAAATAGAAGATTTGAATAAATAAACCTCAAACACAGTCCCCTGGACGTCCCTTTTCCAGAATTGCAAATCTTGTTATAAATATTTGTTTGTCGTTAATAACTGAATAAAAATATCCTAATACATAAAAAAACTAATAAGCATCTTTAGACATCGCCATTATATTTTTAAAATGAAATTTTAATCAAAACAGCTATGTGCAAATGCTGTCCTCAAACAGTCCCCTGTTAAAATTTGAAAACCGCGCTGAATCAAATTTTGTTTTGGTACGGGACATTTAGATCGTGAAAGTGTTTTTCATTATCTTGAGAATCGCTCACTATAAAAATTTAAGAATACGCCCTAATCGAGCTTTCATTTGACACGTACCTTGACATTGAGTAACGACTATTGCCTTAAATACAGTGCTAGTCAAAAGTCCATTCCCCCCCCCCGCTTGGTATCTTTTGAACTTCTTCTTCTTCTTGTACCATGTCCTTTCAGAACGTTGGTTACCATCATAGCTATTTTAATTTTATTCACTGCCACCCTAAACAGCATGCTTGTATCTACACCATACCAATCTCGCAAGTTCTTCAACCATGAGGTTCTTCTTATCTTAATGCCAATTTTAGGTCTCTGTTACATAACACCTTGGACATCCTTCTAAAAGCAGCTCTAGCCTGCTCTATTCTGGATCTAATTTCGCCGTGATTTTCTGAATTACAATTTAATTGCTGTCCAAGGTAGACGATTTTATCAACTTGCTCAAGTTTGGTATTATTTACATATATATAGACGGTTTTATATTCTGAACGGTTTATTGTTATAATAGTGAAATTTTGAGGGAGGTAATAAACAGACGTAGGCTTCTCAACTAGTGTATCAATCGCGACTGATTCGTTCGTTTTGATTCAATCAATTCAAAGTATTGAACGACTGAATCCCGTTAGTTCATAACGATCTAATCGTATGGTGACAAAAATCTATTGATTGATCTCCGAAGGCGCCGATCGAGAATGAACCAAAGCAAAATTGCACAGCCAATACTCTTATTACTTTCTGTCCTCGGTCGTTCCTCACTTGTGTGTTGATTACCAATGAATTTTGAGACATTTTTTGGCTATCGAGACAGTAAAAAACGGAAAATCTTCATTCAGCGTAGGTTTGTACCTCAAAACCCAAGAATCTTCTCTCTCGTACCTCATCCATCACATTTCTAACCATTTCACAAGTGCTCCATCACTATCTTTTTCTTATGTGTATACCAGGTGTTATAGGTGTTTGTATACTGCTATCTGGTCACAAATGACCAATTATCAGTTATTTTCTGACCTAACATAATAACAGCAAATACTTGAATCTAAGGGCTTACCCTATGGCTTACTCTTATTTTATCTATTAATTAATGCACTACAACATGCAATAACTTCACAGCACTATACTCTGCTTTTAACACTAAACTGTTACACATTTACACTAGCTCAAATGGTTTTGTCCTTATGAGTCTTCTCTTTAGTTCAGTGTTGTCAAGAAGCTGGATTGCCTCGACATTCACATGACTATGCAGCCTCTGCTCGTGAGTTGCTGCTGTTCTCTTGATTATTTCGATCACAGAATCCATACCCAGGTCCTGGTGGAGGTTGCTGTTACGGATATACCAAGGAGCATCAACAATGTTTCTCAGTACTTTGTTTTGAAATCTCTGGATATTATGTAGATTACTAGCTTTGGTACAGCCCCAGAGTTGGCACCCATATACCCATACTGGCCTCAGTACTTGCTTGTAGATGGATAATTTATTATGAATTGATAATGTTAAATTTTTTCCAATCAGCCAATACAATTTCTTATATCCAATATCAAGCTCCCCTCTTTTCTTTTTGACGTAGACTTTCCAGCGCAGCTTCGCGTCTAGGGTGATGCCCAAGTATTTTGCTGATGTTGCATAAGGAATTCGGGTATCATTTATTCTAACTGGGAAATTTTCAATTTTTTTATTGGTAAAGTTAATGTGTGCAGATTTAGTCTCATTTAATTTCATTCGCCATTTTTTGGTCCGGTTATATATTTTATTTACTGATAGTTGCAACTTATCAGTCGCTTCTTCACTAGTGTCTCCTATCGCTAGTATGGCTGTATCATCCGCGGAGATGGCAACAGCATTTTGTTCTAGCTCTGGAATGTCACACGTATACAATAGGTACAGGACCGGACCTAAGACACTTCCTTGTGGCACGCCAGCTTTGATCTCCCTTAAGTCGGTGTACACTTCTTGTTTTACTCTGAAATATCTATTCGCAATGTATGATTTCAAGATTTCTGAATACTGTTTAGGCATGAACGTTCTTAGTTTATAGTTTAAACCGTCATGCCAGACTTTATCAAACGCCTGTGCTACATCCAAGAAGATTGTAGAGCATACTTTATTTTCTTCTAATGTTTTTTCTATTATATTCGTTATTCTGTGAACTTGATCTATAGTGGAATGTTGATTTCAGAAACCAAATTGATGATTTGGTATAAGATTTTTTCTTTCTATTATTTGTTTTAATGTTTTCAATAGAAGTTTTTCAAATAGTTTTGACATCACCGGAAGGAGTGATATAGGTCGATAGGATGTCACTTCCTTAGGAGATTTACCTGCTTTAGCGATCATAATTACTTCGGCTACTTTCCAGAGTCTGGGAACATATCTCAATCTAAAAGCAACATTTATTAGGTGTGTCAGCTTAACTATGGCTTTTCTTGGTAGATTTTTTAATAATTCTCCTGTTATGAGATCATATCCTGCAGCTTTCTTAGGATTTATATTCTCTTTTATCTCTGTTGATGTCAAAAGTGATGTCAACGTTATTCTTTCGTCAGTTTGGAATGGTTCTTCCCATCTCAGTTCTTCACCATCATTGTCGTTGGGTTTGAACGTGCTTTCTATATGATCTGCAAATCGTTCTGCTTTCTGTTCGTTACTTCTAGCCCAGTTGCCGTTTTCCAACTTGATAGGAGGGGAATGAATAATTGGTCTCTTCATTCTTTTTGTTACCTTCCATAAAGAATAATCTGTGTTCTGTCAGCTGTTAAATTACTTAAAAAATAATTAATTGTTGAATTTTTTATATTCTGTATCTCCCTTTTTAGTTTTTGTGTCGCATTATTTAGACTAGTTTTGTCTCGTGGAGCTCTGTATTGCTGCCATTTTTTTCTTAACTTTCTTTTTTCTACTATGAGTTCTCTGATTTCTTTTGGATAGTTGTTTCCTTTTGTTCTAGAAGTTATTGTGGGAGTACTTTCCAAAGCTGACTGTTGGATATTTTTTATAAAAACTTCTAATTCGTGATCAAGTTGCCTCGTGTTTCTCAATGGCACAGCAAGATTAATTTTATGTTCAAGGTTTATTTTGAAGCTCTCCCAGTCAGTTTTTTTTATTAGTCAATATTGGATTGAATTCTTTTTTTAATCTTTGTATCACTCATAGTTATGGCCCAAACATGTGAGAATATTTTCTGCCAGCCTTTTCAATAACCCCAAAATATTGGTTGTTTGGTAAAAATGAGTGGCCAGATACAAGAAACTTGTGATCTATCATTCTTATATTTATTTAAGCCTCTTGAACAAGATTTATTAAAGTGGCAGACACTTTAAAGTTTATGTTTTATCCTGTACACGAATCTAAATCAAGAGTTACGTGGTTATGATTTTGGCATATTTTCTCAGATGCATGACCAATATTGAAGGTATTTCCTGAGTGGTGATAGAGGATCACCATCTGTTTCATCCCACATATACATAAAGCCGTTGTTTTTGTTGAAGGAATGAATATGCAATGGATGTAGACAATTTTGGATATGGTATTGCTTTTTGGAGGTCAAAAGTAGGAACATAGTGTTCTTCTGATGCGTCATCATTGTACGATTTTAGTACATCTCGAGCTTGTTTTGATTTTGCTAGGTGAACATTTTGTTCAACAATAAGTGAACTGGATATCTCAGGTTCAGTTGCTGCAGCTATTTTTAAGGTCAGTCGATCACATTTGGCTAATTCCGATTTTGCAGACGAGTGTTGTTCTGGAGCATAATTATCAGATGATAATGCAGATAAATTACTAATATCGCCATTTGAATGCATTTTTAATCATAAACGATCACGATAAATACACTGAGCACAATCTGACGAGTCAACTGGGCTTGATCCACTCTGGCCCGAAATAATATGACACATTGTTCAAAGACATAGTAAACTAACGACATCTGTTTATTCTTGCGGTAACTTTGGACGTGATT